GGTGGAAAGAGACAGGCTGGGGGCATAAGGGTCTATAATACCTAGATTACATACCCCTTCAGAACCTGAAATTGAACCCAGGAGTCCTGAGTCTCTGGCTGAGAGCAGACAATTTAATGTCTGTGACACCTACTGGCAAAGCGTGTTTCTCTGCCACCCTCCACTGACTGGTCTATACAGAAGATAACAGCCTACTACTGCTACTAGTTACTGCCTTTTGCTGTGAATGCAAAGATCCAAACCCTGCTGACGACTCCCGTGGGTGGTCAGTATGGTTCCACATGATAGAATTAGTTTTTTCAGTTTGTTTAATTATTAAACTTTAATAGGAAGTTACATTAAAACCCACATAAAAAGAATATTAAGTCAAGCAGCCAAAAATTAGGAAATGCCAAAATAAAAGTTGCCTGCACAACCTTAATTTGGCCCCCTTGTTTGTGTGCAATTTGAGAGAGAAACAACATATATGAAAATACAGACTTTATATAAACTTTAATTATTTTTAGTTTAAATGGGATTTATCTTAAGAAGCTTTAAAGTCTTTCCCCTAGAAGACTGAAATTTCCAAAGAGATAAGCTGCATGACCTGTCACCCGTTTTAAAAATAGGAAGGTTGCCAAATTATCATGTTTACCAGAAAAGTCAGAGACATCTGTCAGATGATGTCCACATGTAATTTTAATGTTGCTGATGGATGTTGAGAGGCTGGTGTTTTTGCTCGGGTCTTTGCAACCAGCTATTTTTACTGAATTTTGAGCCCTCACTTTTGGTAAGTTGGTACAAGATGTCAGCGAAGGCTTTCTGCCCTGAAGGGTCAGGGAGGAGAGAGATAGGTTAACTTCCTCAAAAAGGGTCTTGCGCCTCTTCCATTTTGGATATTTTGGGGGGGTGACAAACTCACCCCCATAGTGCTTGTGGTATGCAACAATAAATATTTTTAAAACTGCTGGCTTAAGCAGCGCTTTTTCAAACTGATGCTGGCCTAAAAATTACCTAACCTCTGATCAAGGTATATTTCATGCCTGATTTGTCGAAAGACCTTAGGGGGAGGTGCTGTAAGGTGGAGTGAGCAAAAATCGGAAACTATAAGAATGAAGGTTAAAGCCATGGGCCTTTGTCCACCAGCTCAACGAGCCAGCCGAGGGAAGACTGACATTCCTGGTGTACAAAGCAGGCCACCTTTGGGAAAAGGAAGTGATGAGAACAACAAAGACTCCACCAACTTTTGCCCAGTCTCCCAGCACCAAGCACTGTACCAGCTACATCATCATCTGGTTCCCTGACTGCAGCTCCAGCTCCTATTCCATCCTAGTCCAAAGGCCGTGAGCGCTACAGAGTTCAAACCCTGTTAAGTATTTTATTTTTCCTTTTCCTGGTTTTGTCTTATTTTATTAATTGGAAGATGTCCCAGGCCTTTTTTAGCGTTTTAGAATATGGAAGCGTGGCTGTGCGTGTGTGAGCACGCGCGTGTGTGTGTGCGTGAGAGTGCCAAGAAAGGTCACGTGGAGAAGGAACTGGAAAGAAAGTTTAAACATCCCTGAACTCAGTCTCTTAAAAGCTATTTATTGAATGCATGTTCCACGTTCTGTAGAGAGAACTAAAACACTTTAAAACAGTCGGCTGTAAATTGGTAAATAAGAGTTGTCAAATTTCTTCTTTTGCGCTGCCTTGGATGAAGTTCTTTAGTTGGAACTTATAACCAAACAGACAACCACCTCCTGAGATTCATTTTTATGACTTATAAGATTAGCTGTTGTATAAAATAAATCTGATGATTTGACTACCATCCAATATTGCTGTTAATTTGGTAATTGTATTTCTTAATTCAATTTAGCAGTGTTAATAGAAGTTTCCTTTTAGCGATATGCTTCCTTGATTTTATTTTTGTTTATTAATACTAATAAAATTTATATAATGGATACTGAATCTTCTCTCTTTCAAGAGGCAACATGGACCAGAACCATTGAGAATCTGGGTGTGTGTCAGCCAATCACCAGCTCCCTCCTAAATTAACCTTTGGTTCTCACAATTATGACACCGCTTTTAATTACATGAGCACAGTAAGGCATTTGATATGGTTCCACATGGGGAATTATTAAATTGGAAGAGATGGGGATCAATATGAAAATTGAAAGGTGGATAAGGAACTGGTTAAAGGGGAAACTACAATGTGTCATATTGAAAGGTGAACTGTCAGGCTGGAGGGAGGTTACTAGTGGAGTTCCTCAGGGATCAGTTTTGGGACCAGTCTTATCTAAATCTTTTTATTACTGACCTCAGCACAAAAAGTGGGAGTGTGCTAATACAGTTTGCAGATGACAGAAAGCTGGGAGGTATTGCCAATACAGAGAAGGACCGGGATATCATACAGGAAGATCTGGATGACCTTGTAAACCGGAGTAATAGTAATACAATTAAATTTAATAGTGAAAAAGTGCAAGGTCATGCATTTAGGGATTAACAACAAGAATTTTTGTTATAAGCTGGGGACTCATCAGTTGGAAGTAACAGAGGAGGAGAAGGACCTCGGAGTATTGGTCTATCACAGGATGACTGTGAGCTGCCAATGTGATATAACCATGAAAAAAAGCTAATGCGGTCTTGGGATGCATCAGGCCAGGTATTTCCAGTAGAGATAAGGAGGTGTTAGTACTGTTATACAAAGCACTGGTAAGATCTCATCTGGAATATTGTGTGCAGTTCTGGTCTCCCATGTTTAAGAAGGATGAATTCAAACTGGAACAGGTACAGAGAAGGGCTACTAGGATGATCTGAGGAATGGAAAACCTGTCTTATGAAAGGAGACTCAAAGAGGTAGGCTTGTTTTGCCTATCCAAAAGAAGGCTAAGAGGAGATATGATTGCTCTCTATAATTATATCAGAGGGATAAATACCACAGAGGGAAAAGAATTATTTAAGCTCAATACCAATGTGGACACAAGAACAAATGGATATAAACTGGCCATCAGGAAGTTTAGACTTGAAATTAGACGAAGGTTTCTAACCATCAGAGGAGAGAAGTTCTGGAACAGCCTTCCAAGGGGACCAGTGGGGGCAAAAGACATATCTGGCTTCAAGACTAAGCTTGATAAGTTTATGGAGGGGATGGTATGATGGGATAGCCTAATTTTGGCAATTAATTGATCTTTGATTATTAGCAGTAAATGCCCAATGCCCAGTGATGGGATGTTAGATGGGGTGGGATCTGAGTTATTACAGAGAATTCTTTCCTGGGTGGCTGGCTGGCGAGTCTTGCCCACATGCTCAGGGTTCACCTGATCACCATATTTGGGGTCGGGAAGGAATTTTCCTCCAGGGCAGATTGGCAGAGGCCCTGGGGGTTTTTCGCCTTCCTCTGCAGCGTGGGGCACGGGTCACTTGCCAGAGGATTCTCTGCACCTTGAAGTCTTTAAACCATGATTTGAGGACTTCAATAGCTCAGACATAGGTTAGGGGTTCATTACAGGACTGAGCGGGTGAGATTCTGTGGCCTGCGTTGTGCAGGAGGTCAGACTAGAGGATCATCATGGTCCCTTTTGACCTTAAAATCTATGACTCTATACCATTTTCCCACAAGACCCCTGCCTTATTCAATGCACAAGATGGACCTGCTGTGGGGATCAATCAAAACTGTGTAGTGACAGAGACTTTTGTCTATAGGATCTCTGCTTCATCTGTTGCAAAAGTTGGAAGGCATATAGTTAATCAGGTAGGGGATTGCAGGAAGAAAAAGAGAAGTTTCACAGTTAAGGCAATTGACTGCAGAACTGGAGTCTATCTCTGCCTCTGCCACAGAGATCCTGTATGGTGCTGGGCAAGTCAGTTAAACCAAACTTTACATAAGTGGGCACTAATTGTGTGTTTCTCATTTTCTGGGTGCCTGACTTGAGATCCTGGGTCTGATTTGCAGAAGTGCTGAGTACTCACAGCTGTAACTGAAGCTGTGCTTTGAACGTATGAAGCGCTCTATAATGCTAAGTACTCTGAAAAATCAAGTCCTGGGTGTCTCAAATCAGGCATCCACAATTAGGGGGTGCTGTTTTACCTTAATCGCTCTGTGCCTCAGCTCCCCACCTGTAAAATGGAGATAAGGGTGTTGTGAACATAAATTAAGTAATATGTGTGAAGCACTCAGATACTAAAGTGTTGAGTGCCATAGAAAAGTCCATGAGGAAATCAGTAAATCAGTCTTCATTGCAGGGTTTGGATGGTGTGTGGTAAATAAGACTTGGGGTCAAACATGGAATGCGGAGGATAAAAAGAAATATTGAGTAACTACCCATTTACTGAATGAGACTGGGGTCCTGTAGTAAAAAACAGGCTTTAATTACATGATTACATAATATCATAAGGCTGTCCCCCTCCCCTACTGGGCAGGGTCCCCCTTACTTCAGTTCTCTGATTTTCCAAGTCTCACAGCACACCTCCAAGTTCCAGTCCTCTCTCCTTCTTCCTCTTCTCTGTCTGCCTGAAGCAGGGAGTCTTATTAGGTTCCTAATAGGGCCTTAATTGACTGCAGGTGCTCCAATTAACTTGCAGCCACCTTCCCTAGTCTACAGGGAACCACACCTTAATTAGCCTTGAGCTTATATATTTCCCCTCTAGCACTCTACCACTGGTCCCTGGCCCTCCTGTATCACAATGCTAATTAAGTATGGCCTTCCAGTTTCTGTTGAGTAGCCAATACAATGTGCCAGAGTGCAGGTACCCCTGCCCTACAGCACTATTTCAGCACCCACCTCTTTACCACAGATACATAAGTTATAGGTGAGCAATACAGACAATACCTACTTGCGATTAACCTGCTGTATTGGACCTCACTACATCCTGATTGCATGCTTTTGAAAGCTTAAGAACAGCAAAGAACTTTTGCAACATCACAAGGAGGGTTAAAGCCAGAGATCAGAGATTTGGTTATGGCTGTGCTGGCCCCAGTTCCCACATGAGCATTGCTGTGGGTCTTGAAACAGTAAAGATAAGTAGAAAATAGCTGTGCCAACCTCTGCCAGAGCAGTGGAGAAGTGATTGCAGTTCTTGTGCATGAGATGGTACGCATTGCCCTTGTACTCCTTGCCCAGCTCCTCCATAATCTTATCCACATCCTCTTCTGTGAAATCAGTGGTGCCCAAAGCAACGGACTCTCTAGTTTAAAAACAAAACAGGAAACATGGGAAGACACCGTGAAAAAGGTTGAATAGACACAGGCTAAAGAGAGAGAAAACAAGACACTGGCAAGTCATTTAGGATTTAAATTTGGCAGGATTGGTTTACATGTACGTAGTGCTAGTGAAAAGTTCCTGAATGACAACTCTGCAAGCTAATGTCCTCTATTTATCCACAAAAATAGGTACAGCCCAGGCAGCAGCACTGAGACCTTCCCTACACACTACCCTGCAAAACTGCCTTAACTCCGAGCTGCAGGGACCACTTCTCTACCCATTCAGTCCTAGGTCCATCAGCTGAGACCACCAAGAAGTGTGCCATTTATGGTGGTGGTTTTTGTGATGTGGACTCCTGACAGTAAGAACTGGATTGAAAATTCTCCACCCCCACAAGGTTCATTTGACATAGGCCATGGATCTCAGAGGGTAAAATCCTGCAGTCAGTCAATTTCTTCTGAGCCAAATCTGAATCAGTGATCTAGGGAAGACAGGCTCCATCTTCCATTAACTGAGCCACAGTCCCAAAATCTGATCACCTTGAATATTTTATAATGGGGCATCTAAAATCCTCCCACTTCTGCTCTAGAAAGTAATGTATTCCCACTCTGTCAATAGGAAGCAGACAAAAGAGAAAACTTCCAATAGCTCCTGGTTTTGTGGAAAGCATAAAAAGCAATGTGTGATGTTCTTGTGCTCCTTCTACTGGCCCTGCAGCAGCTACCAAGGTACTAGTCTCAGAATTTTGCTGAGTGGCAAAACTGGAGCACAAAAAGAAAACAACCAAATTACAAAAAAGAACTGTGTTCATGTCAAACTGCACTTGAAAACAGAGGAGGAAAACGCTGAGCACTCTCTCAGATATCCTGCCCTATGTCCTTGTGCACAACCGTCACCCACACCAAGAGTCCTGTTGGACTGCTTTTGAATCAGGAGCAGGTGGAAACATGGTGGGGGTGGGAGCAGGTACTAGGAAGATGAGACTCAAAATGGCAAGGCAGGACTGATCTGTTGACCCTAAATAGGCTCATTGATGACGGCAAGATGAGGGGTGTGTGAAGAAGGGCCCTTACTTGAACTTAAAGGTCTCGCCAAGCTCTACCGCACTGCCAGGTGTGATCTCGAAAATCCCACTGAAAGGATAAGGATGCCCTCCATACGCAAATTCTGACAAGGAAAGAAAGAGACTGTGAGTAATCAAATGAAGGCTGTAACAGGGAAAGTACACAGCAGCTGTCTGCATGGCTTACATCAGCAATGGTGTTAGGGCCGTTGCCAGAGTCAGTTTCAGTCAGGCACTAAAATCCATCCTCCTACTCCAGTTACATATCAGCCCCAGGATACCCTCACAACCCCAATTCCCGATCATACTCCATCTCTGCTAATGCTATTAGTTGGCCATAGTCCTAGGCAATCCCTGTGTGGGGCTCTGAGCTGGCCTGAATGGATTTGGTCAGCAAGTCAAGGTGGCAGCAAAGCTTATTACTAAGGTGAAGAAATCCTAAAGTAATATAGGAAGGTGATGGGACTGACACCCAGTTAAGAAAACTCCTCTATTCTTCAGTAGAGCAGAGGGTTACCAAACACTGCCCAGCAGAAGGATACACAGGCAGTTTACCAGGAGTCAAAAGTCTCCACCTGATTTTTAGAAAAACTGAGCTAATTGCAGCTGCACTTTATGCAGGTCAGACCTATGGAAACTACAGGACCCATCATGTCATGCTCCATCTCAAGTCAACTGTAAAAGCTGCTTGGTTCAAGATGGACCATTGCATACTGGAACATGTAATCGGTCATGTGGCAATGGAAAAAAAGAAAAAAAAATCACAAAGACACTCTCTTCTAACACTGAGCTTTATTCATATAAGGAAAAACAAAATTACCCCTAACACTATTCTGTCTCTCTCTCTCTCTGCTTCACTGCAGAGCTCCAGTCTAGAACCTTCCTTCCAACAGCCAAAGGTGCTGCCTTTTTCTTCTGTACTGAGTACTTTCATCAGTTTCAGTCACGTGGGATCTCAAGCTGCAGCTACGTCCAGTGACAACAGCTGGTGTTGTCCAACATTCTTCCTCATATGGTTTTATCAGGATTGGGTCTCCTGGTTTAAGGCTGGATAAGCTTTGGGCTGCATTCCAACAGTTAGAGAAGAAAGCCTCTTAGATCTGGCAACTCTCAGCCACCGCAAAGTATTTCCATGGTACATATCTACAATAGCTTTAATTCTCAAATAATGCATGAGAAAACTCTGGCATGTAAGGGGCACCTTTCCTAGATCTTTGCTGTTTATTAAATGTCTGAGTGGTTTGTGGTCCATCTTGAGCATGAAACTGCCACAACCCTATATGTACCATTTGATCTTCCCACATGCCCATATACTTGCCAAATGTTCTCTCCCTGTTTCGGTTTTAGGATCTGAAAGCTGTCAGGAGCAATATGCTAAAGGCTCCTATTAGCACCCCACAATAGCAGCTGAACTCTGTAGACTTGGAAACATCATAAAATATCAGTACCTGGGATGTGGTTAATAGATTCTTTAGATCCTCAAAAGCTTATTTTTATGCTTGGCTCCAGATCCACATAGAGACTTTTGTTTTAAGGAGTTCATAAAGAGCTTGTTTTTTTGAGGGTGGGTTAAGTATGAATTTTCTCCAATTTGCTAAATAAAATTTTGGAAAACTTTTTCTGGATCTGCCCTCCCCCCTCTTCTATCAATCAGAACTGTTGCTGGGTTTGTTGTAACGTTGCCATCAGAACTTGTTGCAATAGTGTATTATGCTATGTTCTTTCTGTGATTTCCTAGGAGTTAAATATAGCATCATCCAGAAAAGCTTCCACTCTCTCCAGGCCTTGCAGAATCCCACTCCTTTTCCATATGAAGATTTCTGGGTGCTTGTGACCCTGACTGGGAGGTAGCAAAGAGCAATATCTTCTGAATGGCTTTGCAGAAAAGTTGGTACTGTTGGGGTGGAGAGGAACTTGTCTGAAACCTAGTGAAGAGAGCACTGTTGCACCCATTAACTTGGGGATAGTATCTTCTGTGGTGAGAAGAATCTCTCTTTTCCTTCTTACTGTTTCATTGAGCATCTTTAGATCTGTGCTAATAGTTTTCCCCCTTGCCTCACGACACTACAGGGGCACATCACTCCAGTGGTTCATTACTGCCCTTTATTGTGCCATTCCTCTCCATCCTTTCCAGTTCTTCTTTCGCTTTCAGGAGCAGTGGGATGGGCACTCTCCAGGTGGTACTGCACACATAGGGTACATCCCCTCTTCCAATAGGATCTGGAATGGCTCTGTTCTAAGCAGGCTCTGTCTGTTGAACACCATGCCAACATCCAGTTCTATGAGGGCCATCTTAATGATTGTGGCTTGGTCTAGTTTACTTGCGGTAGTCTCATTAACACCACAGGCTCCTTGCCTTTGTAGGTAAGTTTTGAATGGACTGAAGCAATGGATCTGTTCCCCTGGGCTATTGAACACTGTCCTGGGCTACTCCAGATTAGGACTAAGGCTTATCTTCTTAAGTCTCTTTACAAAATAATCACCTCTACCCCTGAAATTAATTTTAAATTTAACAAATGTTGCAAATCTTGAGATTAGATCCAAATCTATTCATGAACGCTGCCTTTGGACACAGATCCTAAGAAACACAAATTATTCACTCTTGCTTGTACTCCTTGATTCCTTTGCTTTGATAGCTGTTTTGCTAATATCCCTGTTTCTTGCACAACCTGTATGTACCTCCACCAGTGGCTCCTAGACACTACACAAATAATAAAATAAATAAATAAATAATTTGTCCTGTGCTCTCCTCGGCCACACCTGCCACAGTTCTGTCCAGGAACTCAGCATTCTTAAAAGCCATTGTTATGAGGCTTCTTTCCCCCTCCCTGCATGGGAATTTTTTCATTGCTACTTCTTTCACATTGCTTTGACTGCTACCTTGCTGGGTGACTTGCATTTTGACTAGTTCAGATGGCCATATCTGTTGAACTACCTTGTTCCAGAGGACCTCAGATGTGATTTTTTTGAAAGCTCCTTGTTTAAAATCTCAACTATTAGATGTTCTCTTACCTGCTCTCCCTGACAGATACCAAAGTCACGATGCTCTGCTTGTTCATAAAAGACCTTTAGAAATGCCATAAAAGCATAGCCATTCATATAGTACTTTCCTTTTTGGAATTAAATACTCACTGCCCTTTTAAAAGGCAATGTAATAGTTATTCATATTGATTGATTCCTCAGTGAAGGCAAGTGATTTCTAAACATTTTTAGCTTCACTCCCTACTGCATAAATTAATGAGCTGACTTATATTTTACCAAAAACTCTGTGGTAAACTTAAATAGCTAGTAAAGTGCTCCTTCCCCTTAGGCCATTCCAGGGGCTTATGAAACAAAGTCTTTGGCAAGGTTGAATTTTGACATTTTATTTTTCTCGCTGATGCAAAATGACTGAGTTTCTGAGACCATGTAATTGGACAGTGAGAAAGCCATTTTTCTGGGATTCTTTCTTCAGACACTGAACTAGGAAATGTATTAAAATAAGGGAAACTGTATTATCCTTAAAGCTACTCTCTGCGTGTCTCTTTGCTTTGCTTCACTGGAGAGCTTTTGCCTATAATGTTCTCCAGTCCCTTCTTCAAAGCTGTAGCAGGATGTCAGGCAAGAAACAGTACTCTAGCTTTGCAGACAGCACGTCTACATTGAAAAGGAGATTATTTGCAAGGTCCACGATAGAACTGCATGAGATGCATACCATACTTTGGACACCCCAGTCTAAAAATAATTGACTGAATTTCCACTCCTCAGAGCCCCCTCACCCCAAAAGGCACAAACCAGGACACCAGGATTTCTTATAAAAAATCGTAAGATCAGTAGGATTGTCCCCCAGACTCAGATGTAACTAAAAAGAAAGCTTCATACCTCTGCCGTAGATCTCGATGCCGGAGTGGAAGACTCCAATCCCCAAGGTAGAGGTGTATTCATTTATCCAGTACTACAGTAAGAAGAAAGGTAAATTTGGAAGCATTAGTAGAGCATAAACTAAACACAGGACCTTGGTCTATTATATACCCTGGTGTCCTTTCCTCAAGGCTATTTCTCTGGAGTCTAGCAAGGACCAAACAAACAAACAAATCTCCTCACTGTATTTTCCACTGAATGCATCCAATGAAGTGAGCTGTAGCTCACGAAAGCTTATGCTCAAATAAATTTGTTAGTCTCTAAGGTGCCACAAATACTCCTTTTCTCTCCACTGACAGAATACTATCCCCTTTAGATGTGGGATCTGTGCTTGCCCAACTGATGGGGTGATATCCTAACAAACTGTTCATCTGGACTTCACAGTATGGGACTTTCCCCTGGGTTTAGATGTAAATATACGCTCTGTACTATGAGCTCACCAAGAACCTACTACAGCAGCGGATGTTGGGGGGTTGGGGGGGGACATTTATCTCTCTGCATTTTAACAACATTAGTAAACACAGAGTTAAGTTTGTTAACAACAATTTTTATACCACCCATCCATTTGAGGATTTCAAAGCACTTTACAAACACCAATTTATTTAGGCTCACAACACCCATGTGAGTTAGGTAAATACGCTCCTCATTTTAGATTTTTTGTATTAAGGCTTTTTTGTGTTTACACTTAGGTAGCAAGTTTTTTGGAGCAGGGAACATCTCTTCTCACATGTCCATAAAGCACCATTCCCCACTATCTGTGCTACTACATAGGTAATAATTTTGCAGAACAAATGGAGAAACAAAAACACAGTGAGGTTAAGGTCAACATTTTACATAGTGCCAGCTCATATGAAATGCATCCATTTTCAGAAGGGCTGAGCATTTGCAGCTCCAAAACCAGCCCAATGGGGTCTCATACGGCTTCCCAAAATCAGCGATCAACCTCAGAAAATTCAGTGAAAATGAGATCATTGCTTCCAAGTCCAGGACATCTTCATTCCGCCAAGGGCAGAGGAATTCTACAGTCCAGCACATATTTACTCTCTCTTCTCCTCCTCCAGATACTTCCTAGTGACTCAGAACATCATGGTCAGAGTTTTTTTGAGCCCTGCTAGGACAGTTAGCCTCAATCATTTGTCACTCTCCCTGAATAATCCTGTAATGAACTGTTTTGTATATGTGTACCACTGCCCCCAACTTGTCACAGACTCTATAATGCTAACACCTAAAGGAGATTCTCTCTCAACTCACATAGTAGGGAGTCTGTGCTTTTGAAGCCAAAATATTTAAGTTGTATCCCTTCTGTCTCTGTGGGGTCTGCATGGCCATGATGTGCAGCAGAGTAGGCACTTCACAGTTGGCAGGTAACCACAGATTTGTTACACTTAATCCACATTCTGAATTCTACTTGTTTATGGATTATTGACGATGACTGAATACTGACTGTATTAGCTCTGTAAGATATCTCGAGATGCATTTGACCGCAACTCTATATAAAGTGTTGCATTGTTATACAAGGTGCAGTCCCAAAGGTGACTAGGAGGAGGTTCAACCCAAATACCATAAACCCCTAATTCCAAAATGCCTCGCTAGCAGTTTCTCAGGCATTACAAGTCTGTTTCCCCTGCGAGGAAGCCCCTAGTGCTTCTCCTTCTTTGCAGATCTTTGCCTTAAAACATATGCTCCCATTTCAGGAGAGCAGCTGGCAAACTACATGAGCCTCTGTAGTCCTTCAGCCCATCTTTCACCTTTCCCATTACTAAATCCCCATTTGTCTCCTCATTAGGCAGGCTTTTTAACTGAACTTTGTGAAGTGCAGTGTTTATGGAAGTGATGGGATTGGAGCTAAGTGAAGGTTGGGAACCCTAAGAGCATGGGATTGGAGCTAAGTGAAGGTTGGGAACTTCTGCCTGTGCCCCTTGGTCTCAATTAACAGCAAACCCTCCCTTTGAGCAACAGACACCTTGTTTCAGGGAAGGAAGGGAGGATCCCCCAGTAGTGGTCCCATTCCACAGTTTCTACTCTTCTCCACCAATTTCTGTTTCTGTCTGTGACACCAAGCAGCCCTGTATTCACACCCTACACACTATTGTAATAATCTTTGTTCAAAATATGCCTTGTGAGGTACCATTTGAAAACTAACAACTTACTAATATTTGTGTGCAACGTATGTACACCATGAGTATTAAGAGTTACAAATCTATGCTGGAATTATAACTAAAGCATGTGTGAACCAGGGAGTTGTTAAACCTGTCTATCTTAAACAAAGGAATGTGTGTTTACCTCAATTTACATATAAATAGTAAACAGACTCATCAAGCTAACAAGGGATGGAGGCAAATCTCACACTAACAAGTGGGGGAGAAGACGCATGGTGTCTACCTCCAGCAGGAGAGAGAAGCTTGGTCTGGGTTTTACTTTTCAGAAGAATTCATTTCAAAGGTTTACTGGGCTATAAAGATGGGGAGAGGCAAGTTAACCTCAAATGATAATCAACTGATTGTACACAATATTACTGTATTATAAAAGTATAGAGAGTGAGGTCTTTTCGGAAATCTGATGACACACGGGTGATTAATATAATTGTGAAATGTATGTATTAACACAATGTAAGGAATTATGGATATTCATTGATATTAGGCTGTATTGTCTGCCCAGACAGTGGGGAATGTCACAGTTATCTACCTGTCTCCTATATACATTAAGATGGTGGAATCAGAAACAATGGAAGACCCATTTACATAGAAATCATATAGGGAGATGGGAAGCCCTGTGCCACCTTAGAGACTAAATTTAATTTGGGCATAAGCTTTTGTGGGCTAAAACCCACTTCATCAGATGCATGGAGTGAAAAATACAGTAGCAGTATATATATTACAGCACATGCAAATATGGCAGTTGCCTTACCAAATTGCAGGGTCAATGCTAATGAGGCCAATTCAATCAAGGTGGAAGTCGCCCATTCCCAACAGTTGACAAGAAGGTGTGAGTATCAACAGAGAGAAAATTACTCATCCTGCCTCATGAAGCAAGGTCACTGAACTTGGGAGATATAAGCAAGGGCAGAAGCTATCTTTGGCATCCATCACTAGACAGACAGAAGGGGCCAAAGCTTTTGGAGGCTGAGAAAGATGGGTCCTTAAACCAAGGCGGGGGCGGACAGAAGTCTCTGGAACTGAATATAGGTGAGAAACCTGCTTAGGCAAAAACCTTTTCACCTAAGGTGACAAAGGCGCCAGCATATGGGCCTCTGGAAGAGATCCTGACCAAGGAATGGATCATTCACCATCTTGCTCGAAGACTGTTGGTGAGAAACACCATCTTAAATAAAGCCTTGAATCAAATCTTTAGGCTTTTCGATGTGTGTTTTCATTTTTATTTGATTGTAACCCTTTCTAACATTGTCTCTTATACTTCAACTCACTGAAAAACCTATCTGCTTTTATTAAAAAACTTGTTTCACTATTAAACCAATATTGTTCTGTTCATACTAAAATGAACATCAGCTCCAGATAATGTGGCAAAGTGGTGTGTTTTCACTCCTTAAAGGAGCACACAAACCATATTATTTCTCTGAAGTGTGCAGGGCTGGACATTGCAGAGCACACAGTTTGGAGAAAATTCAGGACTGAGAGTGTGTTGGGGTCACCCTGCAAGTAGTAACGAAGGCTGGTAGAAGCCAGAGTAGGGCTGTAGACTGGCTGCTGAGGTCAGAACTGCTGAACCAGGGCTGTCTAGCACACAGACACTCAGGGTGTGACCTGCTTGCTAGTAGGATGGTTGTGAGTGGCCCCGGTGAGGAGCTACAGCAAAGCATTGTGAGGCACCCAAGATTGCAGGACAACCCCTCAATGGTCTGGATTGCACCCTAGGAAGTGACGCTATCCTCATTCTCTAATTGCTGTTCATCTCTCTGATAATTTCATCCCCTATTTCCCCCAGTTGCCTTCCTCTATTCTCACTGGCTGGTTGCTCACATGCTCACTTCATTCTGCTAAGCTTCAGAGGAGGCCTGGAACTGAGCCTGATTTCTGAACCTTCTGAGGGTCACTCGCCACACAGTCCAACGGCATGTGTTGCCTCCACACCTCAGGCTAAGTAGCAACAATGCCTCATAGCATTTGCAGGCTCTGCCAACCCAGATGGTTGGAGGAATAAGGAACCTGGAAGTAGGGGGAAGTTTTTAAATTAGAAATGGGTTCAAACCTCAAAATTCAGATAAAGATTTTGAAAATCCCGAAGTACAGCAACTTGGCCCTGGTGCTTTGCTTCTGCCTATTATACTAGTAGGAGTCATCTGAAGAGGCTGAATCTGCATCAAGCTTTAGATTTCAAACACCCTCAATCCTGAATGTTTATTGGAATGGGGATTGGGTTTGGGCCCATGACTATTTCAGATACAAAAAACATCCCCATGATTGTCATCAGAGGCATCAAAAAGCAAAGCAGCTTTGCAGCAAGGGTTACCATTGTCCTCACCTCATCCCTGTCTCCAGAGAGCTGCAGAAGCTGTCTCAAGGCTATGCTGAACATGCAGCAAACACCTGCCGGCACTTTGGCACAGTCCTTAGGAGATCTCGGGACATGACTGCTCTACACTGAGCACATCAGCCAGATTATTTTCCTGCTGAGCAAATGAGTCAGATCTGAAATCTGGTTTGTACAAGCACACAGAAACTTGCCTATTCTGTCTGCATTTCTGAGTGTAACAGAATCATAGAATATCAGGGTTGGAAGGGACCTCAGGAGATCATCTAGTCCAACCCGCTGCTTAAAGCGGGACCAATCCCCAGTTTTTGCTCCAGATTTCTAAATAGCCCCCTCAAGGATTGAACTCACAACCCTGGGTTTAGCAGGCCAATGATCAAACCATTGAGCACAGCTATCAATTAAGTCAGCAAATACTGATCCCCGTCAGATGACAGGGTTATTGGTCTTTGTAACTGACACAAAGGCCCAGTAGTGCCAACTGGCAAAGTGTTCCCTGTTCTTTACTAGTAACTCCTACCTCGGAAGAGACAAACTCACAACACCTAATACACCACTTTCATGGAATTTATCCATAAGAGGTAGCCTATGAGGGCTCTACTGAAAGCTTACAACTTAGTGATACTCATAGTCATTGGGAGATGCATGCACAGGTAATATTTAAGGAATAATGTGACTATATTGAAAATTATTTCCTTATGGTCTTGGCGTGACAGTGAGTCATCAGGAAATCATATATCTCGGTGATGGACCATTCAGGTGGGAGGCAGCTGTCACCCCTGCATGGTCAGTCAATTACATAATGTATTGCCCAGTTATCCACCATTACAACCACCAGTGCTTAATTTGTAATGAAAGAGGTGCTGGGGCTCAAGCAATTTTTTTACATTCATAACTGATGCAGCAAGCCCAGAGGTGCCAGGGCTATGAACTGCCAAGCCTAGAGGTGCCAGACCAGCTCAGTCCTGGCAAGCCTTAGCACAAATTAAGCACTGACAACAACCCAGAAAAGTCAATGGAGAACCATCAAAGATAAACTAAACCTCAAAACCACTTGGGAGTGAAAAGGAAAAATACGACAGCAAGGGGATGGCCCTGCCTGGGAATAAACACAAAAGACTGATTCAGTATATAACAGGGTGAAGAAAGACTCTCTGGATCCATTCACTGAGGAGGCACCTTGAATAAGCAGGGGTTGCTTAATGAAAGACTGGGTCCTAGCTCCTTGGGGCCAGTAAATGCTGCAAAAGGCTGAACTTTGGGGTGAGAATATATTTCATTAGCCCGGAAAGGTAACTTAGTAAGCTTAGGCCCTAGTTTGTGCTATTATTTGTTTTGTATGTAACCACTTGTTTCCACTCACACTTGTTTCTATTTGAATCTCTGTTCTTTCTTAAAATAAATTTCCTTTTGTTTTATAATTGAACTCAAGTGCTTGGTGTAAAGCAGTCTAAGGTAAAACTGGGGCACACTGTTCCTTTGGGCATGGAGGATCTGGGATTTCTATGGATATCCAGTGATTGGTGGCTGGATACCACAAGGGGACACTGTGAAGGGATTCAGAGGCTGGGGTACCTCTATTGTCAATCATCAGCGTTGGTATAGCCCAGAGAAGAGGCTTGAGTGGCTGACAGGCTGGTTGTTTAGGGAACTAATGCTGGAGGAAGGTGGCATCAAGGTGACTAACAGCCCTGAGTGTCCAGAGAAGCATCACAGTGACCCCACCCCAGGTCAAGGGAATAATGTTCACTGGTCTCTGACTAGCACATTGCTCTCTCATACTTTTATTACATGTTGTCTGCAAAATTGGGCAGTAAATCCCAAGTGAATGGATTTAGGCAGTCTCAGTCCCATCTGGAACTAAGACACAGAGAAAAGCCTGAAAATGAACAACCGAGACAGTGGAGAAAACTAACCAAACTGTAAATATAGGATCTGGATCTAGATTCAGATTCTAAACACTGTCCAAATTCAGGGATTTTTTTGGTTCCAGAGGCTGGGTTTGAGACCAGCTCTAGCCAAAAGCCTTGTAGTGTGATTTGGTTTGGTAAAATTTGGGGAGAAAGTTCAAACTGGTTCTTATTCTAATCCTATCCCTGTACCCAACTCTAGTCTGCAGCTACAGACGTGAAATGGAAATTTGAATGGGACATGATCTGAGCCACGTGAGGGCATCTCAGAAAAGTAAAAAACTGAGAAACACCAACATTTTGATCGCTGCAGACAAGACTGGTCTGGAGAAGCAGAGAAGGTGAGTACAGATTACCTCATTTTGCAAGGTGTAAGGAAATGAGAGCACTCATGGGGTCCAGTCCCAGGAGTAGTTGCCCATTAACACCATTGCTCACATCTGCCAGCAACTCAATTTTTGATCACGGACTTTAACCCTGCTTTTTTACCTCAGACCACTACCCCCCATCCGGCATCTAATGTTCAACAATGAGTCACAGAAATATTTCCTTCCCTCCTATGCTGGATGGTCTGGCTAGCTAACTATTTAGGGCAGGGATCAGCAACTTTCCGCACGTGGCAATCAGGGTAATCCACTGGCAGGCCGTGAGACTTTTTGTTTACGTTGACCGTCCATAGGCACAGCCTCCCCACAGCTCTCAGTGGCTGCGGTTCACTGTTCCTGGCCAATGGGAGCTGCGAGAAGCGGCGGCCAGCACATCCCTGTGGCCTATGGCTTCCCACAGTTCCCACTGGCTGGGAACACCGAACCACATGCCTGTGGACGGTCAATGTACACAAAATGTCTCTTGGCCTGCCACTGGATTACCCCGATGGGCCACGTGCCAAAGGTTGCTGACCCCTGCTTTAGGGTTTGTCTATACTGCAATGTAAGCCGAGGGTTCAAACGCAGGCTGAAGCCTAACCCCCCTTCTGTCTACACGCAAATTGTGCTAACCCAGGGCTCATTCCCAGGATGCCCTGGGGGTGGAGGGTCCAAACCTGAGTCAAACTGGGACCCACGGTTCAAGCCCTATTGCTTTACATTGTAGATGCAGCCCCACTAGACTCATGTTCTGGGAGTCCACCAAAAGAATCCCACAATCCCATGGGCTGAATTTCTTTGTCTGGAGAGTCATGTTTGGTGGACAGTCAAATTCCCCTCACACTAAAGAGGCAATACAAATGTAATTTAACAAGGTTGCCTTAACTTTCTTTCATATGGCAAGTGGAGAATAAGTAAGGGCAAAGGGGAGCAGAGCTAAGGCTAAGATCTGGATGTTGGAGGTGAGCAGGGAGCATGTAGAGGTACGAGGGGCCTGGGCAGACCACCTTGCACTCCAGTGATCTTGAGCCTCCGGAGTCTTCCTGCTAAGTGTCACAAGCTTCTGAAATGGACTCCATCCGTGCAACTGTTTGTGGTTTGTTTTAGAGTCATTTTTATCAGGAGCCAAATCACAGAGAGCGCCAAATGCTGAGCCTTCCTCCTTTGCAGGCATAGATGGTCTTATACAATTCCATAGTGCATCACAAAGAGGGGTGAGGTTGAGAAGAATTCCAGGAGTCAGTAGCATGATAAGGGCAGGGGTGAAAGTAAGGCAGTATGCGCCAGTACGGCGTACCAGTAAAAAGTAGCCACCAGTACCTGCCCGCTTTAGTTGCTGCCCCTTTTGTGCCCCCCACTGGCAGCCCTGCTGGGTCCCTAACGACAGGGCCGCCAATGGGGGTGCAAAAAGGGGAAGTGATGTTAAAGCACTGCCGCGGCCGCTGACGGGGAGGGGGCGGGGGGAGAAGTAGCAGCTGCCCCGGGGCCGTGATTTAAAAGGGCCCGGTGCTCCGACCGCTGCTACCACAGCAACAGCGGCCGGAGCCCATGGCCCTTTAAAATTGGCACTGGAGCCCCGGGCAGCGTGAGCCAGGCAGCGCAGATAGGCTGGCCGGGGGATGCTGACCTCAGGCCCGTCCCTTCTGCCCGATGCCCTGTACCCATAAGAGCTCAATTTTACTTTCACCCCTGGATAAGGGCAAACTGAGAAAGAACCTATCAATATGCAGATACAAAGGTTTAACCTCTCCCCCGTAGGGCCACACAGGGGTTCCCAGCTGCTATTAGAGTTCATTGGCTACACAGATGTTCCACGAAAGGTACCAGGTTGGCAGGGAGTATTTCTCCCCACATCAGCCCCTCTTAGATCCTCTGTGCAAAGTTCACTTGCTTAGGCTTTGTGCAAGGATGGGAGGATATTTAGCACATGCTGTGGTATACATAGGGAGAAGTGTGTATATACATGCTTGCATGTTTAAGTGCATGGATGTAGTCACAAACACACCACAAAGCATGGGAAAATCCATTAATGACATGAAGGTGAAAACCAAAAGCCATTAGTCAAGGCAGCACCAGTTTGATTCAGTAGGCCAGTCAAGGGAGTGCTAAAGTAATGTCTTGACATTCAGTTCTTAGGCTGTATTGATCCAGATGTGAAATATGATAGCATGAAAGAAGACGACAGAGGGGAAACCAGGGAATACCACTTCAGGAATTCACTGAGTGAAATCCTGGCCCCATTGACATTAATGGCAAAACTCCCATTGATTTCACCCGAGCCATGATTTCACCCAGTGTATATTTCCAACATAGGTTAATGGCTTCCAGAACCCTTGCTTATGTCTGTGAAGGGGAAACAGAGAAAAGCAAACAAAATATTTTACTTCCTTGATATAAATGTAATGCTTCTGAAGGAGAGGCAAGATTACCCTGATTATAAGCAGGCATGACACAAGCTACCCCACAAACCTCTGCCAAAACACCTCAGCCCTGATGTGCATCATCCACTAATTTTCCAGTCCTGGGCTTGCACACAGTTCTGTTAATATGCTTCAATCCTACCATTATTTCTATTCCAGTCCTGAAGCGGTCATAACCATAGGGGGTAGCCTAAATTCCTCCTTACCTGTAAAGGGGTTAAGAAGCTCAAGTATCCTGGTTGGCACCTGACCAAAGGAACCAGTGGGGACAAAAGTTACTTTCAAATCTGGGAGATGGGGGAAAGAGGTTTTGTTTTGGGTTCTTTGTTTCTGTGGCTGTTGGCTCTTGGGACTAAGTCTGTCATATTTCAAACTTGTAAGTAACAGCCAGGCAAGGCATATTAGTTTATCTTTGTTTTCTCAACTTGTGAATTTTCCCTT